TGGCTTATTAAGGAAACAACAGGGTGCACCTTGGGTTCAGAATCAAGATGTGGGTAGGCAAAATCTAGAAGTCTCCCCTAAAGTAGCACAATTCTCCCTTCTTCAATGCAGAGCATCTCTCAGTCACTTCTTGGCCATACAGGCTCTTCTCTCTGCTGTGCATACACTCTCTCATCCCTCTCAGGATTCCACTTGGTTCCCACTGACCATGCCACAGGCCCCCTTCCAGGCCACTGTCTGTCTTCAGTATTAAGCCTGTGTTACACCTCTTTTAGGAGAGTCCTCATTTCCTGGGGGTTTTTTTTTCTTGCTTCCTGTCTCGCTTGCCTTTTTTTTTTTTTTTTTTGTCCTTCTTATTTCTTCCTTGGTGTTGGCTGCATCTACGAGAAAACTTTAAGTTTAAGGTATGGCCCATCTAGGGCCATAAACTGACCACTCTTTTTTTTTTTTGCTTTTCTTTTAATCATTTTACTGGTGGCTCCTACAACTCTTTTCACAATCCATACATACAACCATTGTGTCAAGCACATTTGTACACGTTTGCCATCATCATTCTTAACACATTTGCTTTCTACTTGAGCCCGTGGTTTTCAGCTCCTCATTTTTCCCATCCCTGCCCGCTCCCCCCACACCCCGTGAACCCTTGATAATTTATAAATTATTATTATTTTGTCATAACTTACACCATCTGATGTCTCCCTTCACCCACTTTTCCGCTGTCCATCCCCAGGGAGGAGGTTATATGTAGATCCTTGTTATCTGTTCCCCCTTTCTCCCTCACCTTCCCTCCACCCTCCCAGTTTTGCCACTCTCACCACTGGTCCTGAGGGGTTCATCTGTCCTGGATTTCCTGTGTTTCCAGTTCCTATCTGTACCAGTGTACATCCTCCAGTCCAGCCGAATTTGTAAGGTAGAATTGGGATCATGATAGTGGGGGGTGAGGAAGCATTTAAGAATTAGAGGAAAATTGTATGTTTCATCATTGCTACACTGCATCCTGACTGGCTCGTCTCCTTCCCGTAGCCCTTCTGCCATGAGATGTCCAATTTCCCACAGATGGGCCCTGGGTCCCCACTCAGCACTCCCCCTCATTCACAGTGCTATGATATTTTTGGCCTTTGATGCCTGATACCTGATCCCTTCAACACCTGTGATCTCACAGGCTGGTGTGCTTCTTCCATGTGGGCTTTGTTGTTTCTCAGTTAGATGGCCCCTTATTTATCTTCCAGCCTATAGGACCCCAGATTCTATATCTTTTGACAGCTGGGCACCATCAGCTTTCTTTACCACTTTTGCTTATGCACCTTCTTTGTCCTCAGCGATTGAGTCGGGACAGGCTGGTGTGCTTCTTCCATGAACTGACCAATCTTTAGAGGCAAGCATAACTTCATTTGCATATTAGGCTATACTCACTTAATTTTCATAGTCTAGTGCCAATCCCTATACGGTGCATACCACTCACAGGATAGACTGCAACATAGGACCAAACAAAAAGCATCAAATCATCAAGTTGTTTATGCTCCCCCAGGAAATATAAATCAACTGTGGGAGTAATTGGGGTGCCTTGTTCTGGAACTTCCAACCACGCCACCCATTTGTGCAAGCAAGTGGAGGCTGGCCAACACAAAAAAAGTTACCTCGGAAGCTGATATCAATTAGCTCCAGGAGACATAATTTAGCTTCTCACGCAGGACTGGCTGATTCAAACCCTAAGCACAGTGACTCAGAGAGCTGCCTGGTTGATCACATTTGCTCTTAAGAAGGTAGTGCATCCCTTGGAACATGGAAGTTTTTATTAGGAACCCTTTCAGAACTCATCCTATATGCATTTCTTAGTTTGTATCCTCTTTTATCTCTATCTGTCATTGTACATGTAATATACTCTCTATGAGCTCTAAAACATTACAGAAAACCATTGAATCAAAAGGGAGTCAAATAGGTCAGAAAGCAAGGGTTTTATATGCACTCCTGAGCATAGATTTGGCATCTTCAATGAAACAGTGGAAAATCAGGCTCCAATTTGTGATCAGCAGGTCAGAAAGTTGAGATGTCATATGGACCTCCCAAACTTACAGCTGGTGTCTGCCCAATTGGTCTGAAGGACAGTAGTGTCCTTTGAATTTGTGAAATCTGACTTAAATCTGGTGGCTAGTGTCACGGAGCAAGGGTGTCACAAGGGCAACTGGCAGGAAGGATATAAACATGGCGAAGTAGGGGCTGAACTTTCCTATTTGGGGTATTTGACCTTTACTATGCTGATCTGGACTATGCAGGATGATAGAATAATGGCACCTGCCAAAGATGTCCATGCCCTAATTCCCAGCACTCGACAATAGGGACTGTGCATTCCTTAATAAGATAATGAATCTAGACCAGAGGATGTACACTGGTACAGATAGGAACTGGAAATCCAGGGAATCCAGGGCGGATGATCCCTACAGGACCAGTGGTGTGAGTGGCGAAACAGGGAGGGTAGAGGGAGAGTGGGTAGGAAAGAGGGAGCTGATTACCTCCCTGGGGGATGGACAACCCAAAAGTGGGTGAAGGGAGACATCGGACAGGACAAGATATGACAAAATAACAATTTATAAATTATCAAGGGCTCATGAGGGAGGGGGGAGCGGGGAGGGAGGGGGAAAATGAGGACCTAATGCTGGGGGTTTAAGTGGAGAGGAAATGTTTTGAGAATGATGAGGGCAATGAATGTACAAAGGCGCTTTATACAATTGATGTGTGTATGGATTGTGATAAGAGTTGTATGAGCCCCTAATAAAATGATTTTTTTAAAAAGGAATCTAGGCAATTATGGAACCAAAAACTTTTTGGCTGTGGTTAGGTTTAGGATTTTGAAATGGGGAGGCAATCCTGAATTATCCAAAATCACAAGAGTCCTTAAAAGTGAAAAGTATGTCTCAGCTCTGTCAACAGGATATTTGACTTTGCTGGTTTTGAAAACAGAAGAAAGGGATTTGGAGGTCAAAGTATGTGGTTGCTTCTAGCAGTTCAGGCAGCGGATAGAGCAGCAGTAGCCAGGCAATTCAGCTTCAAGAAAGCACTCAGTGGCCCACAGTCGCAGGCATCTGGCAAGCACTCTCCCCACAGCCAATGCCCAAAAGGAAAGTCAGCTTTGCCGGAAGGGGCAGTGATGGAGGAGCCCAAAAAGAGATGGGTGAGGTTCTCAGCAAAACCTGCACCTGCAAAAATGGAGAGGAAGCCAAAACAGGAAGTAGGAAAGGATAAATCTTCAGACAAGAGCAAGCAAAAGAGGAAAGGGGAGCAAAGGTTAACAGGCTGAAATAGCCAACCAAGAAACTGAAGATTTACCTGCCAACAATGGAAAAACGAAAAACGAGGAAAGTCTACCTTGTGATGAAGAACAAGAAAAAGCCAAGTCTGATTAATGTTGATTTGCCATGTCTTATCAGTGGGTCCCCATTATCTCCCTTCTTGTACAATCCAGAGGAATATGTTTATCAACTCTTATGTAAATGCAAGTTTTTTAGTAGCTCTAGCAACACTTTTAAGAAGTTCTAGAAAAATTCATCCCATTTTTTTTTAGTGTAAACACTTTTCCTTCTAAAGATGTGAAATCATTTACTAGTTGTTTATTTTTAGTTACAACCAGAAAATTGTGGGATGTTGAATTGTGGGAAGATTTGATTGTCTAATGTTCCATGGAATGGGGGGAGTTTTTGTATCTTTAATACAAAATATACTTAATGAAATTTGGACTCACTGTCATACATTTATATGACTTGAACATTTACATTTTTGTTTCCATGTTGTTTATTTGTAGTAGAATTGTGTCTGAAAATCATTCTGTCATCATGGCTTTCTTGTCAGAACTCTGTGCATTCTATAACACCTTTGGTTGTGGCAGTCCAGTTTTCCTGATAACTTTATGTGCTGCGAATGGTTGAATATTTGAGTGTGTAGTATGTGTGACATTAAATTATGATTAATGGAACTTAAGATGTAACAGCTGGTCAACATTTGAAGATAATAGAACTTGATAACTTTTTTTTAATTGCCCACAAATTTAAAGCTGGAAAGTCACTGGAATTTCGAAAAGAATTGTGTCTACATGCCATTTTTGGGTTTTGGTTTGTGCATTAAGACTTGCATAAAAATTTTTTTATAATGTCTCTGTACTGATCTCAAAGTAACCAGTAAAATAACAGGTATAAATAAAAGGTGGCTCAAACCACTGATTTCAGTTCGTACCGTAAACTTAACCTATTGTACCACCACACCTCCTTATCTAGTTCATACTCATTGTCATCAAGTCAGTTTTGACTGGTAGAGACCTTGTATAGGATTTCAAAGCCTGTAAATCTTTGCAAGAGTGATAGCCTCAGGGAATCCAGGACGGATGAGCCCTATAGGACCAGTGGTGTGAGTGGCAAAACAGGGAGGGTAAAGGGAGAATGGGTAGGAAAGAGGGAACCGATTACATGGAACTGTGTGTGACCTTCTCCCTGGGGGACAGACAACCGAATAGTGGGTGAAGGGAGACGTCGGACAGGGCAAGATATGACAAAATACCCATTTATAAACTATCAAGGGCTGATGAGGGAGGGGGGAGTGGGGAGGGAGGGGGAAAATCAGGACCTAATGTCAGGGGTTTAAGTAGAGAGAAAATGTTTTGAGAAACGATGTACAAATGCGCTTTACACAATTGATGTGTGTATGGATTGGGATAACAGTTGTATGAGCCCCTAATAAAATGTTTTTAAAAAAAAGAGTGATAGCCTCACTTTCCTCCCTCAGAGCAGCTGGTGAGTTTGAACCACAAACCTTGCAGTTAACAGGCTAATGCTTACCCAACAGGGCCACCAGGACTCCTGTATCTGTTTCACAGCATCTCATAAGTAACCATGACACATCTCAATTTATGAGACTACTAGAATGAAATCAAGCTCACTATTTTCATATGTGTTTAGCATCCAAATATGGTTCTCGTAGCAGTTTCTAGGTTAGTAATTTTACTGTTTCCATAGATCGCAAAATTGGGACATCTTCTAGCATCAAAAGAAGACCACTGCAATAGACTCGTTGAACAAAATGATGAGTTTCAAAGACATTTAGGCAACTTAATAGATAAGGTAAAATTTTTCTTCCAACAATATTTGCCTTTTAAGAAGTATGCCAAAAATTAAAGAAATAGAATTAGAGCTAAAAAAAAAAAAAAAAAAGGATTGATGTAACAATTTTCTATTGATTCCATTGACCTCAGAATGACATTACTAGTCTTTTGCAGTTGAATCCCAGCAAAGAAATTGTATGTGTGCCTGTCTATTCTGCTGTGAGCAATTGAAAGTGTTAGTAGTCTTTTCTAACATGCAGGGTAATTGTAAAGCTCATCCACTAAGTGTTCCAGTTTACTTTTACAATACTATTAATCTTAACCAAATGGATTTAATACATTTCTTTTTAATATTAAAATGGCTTTTCTTAAGCATTGCATTATATTTCAACTTGTATTACTTCCCTCAAAGTATCTCACTGCCATTGAGTTGATTCTGACATAGTGACCCTATCGGACAGAGTAGGGTCAGAGTAGGTTTCTTTGGGACAGTTATAATTCTTCTCAGCAGTAAAAAAAATCTCACATTTCTCCTGAGGAGTGGCTGCTGGTTTCAAACTGCTGACCTTGTGGTTAGGTCCAACATGAAAGCCACTACACCACCAGTGCTCTTTGACCTCAAAATATAAGGCAGATAGTTTGCTTTTAGTTAGATATTCATTGATGGGATTATAGAATTGAACTTCTACATGTAGAGCATTTTTAAAGCAAAAGTTCTAGACTTTACCAGAGACTCATTTGTTTAGCTTATTTTTCCAAGGTTACATCATATGAAGAAATTATTGAATGTGCCGACCAAAGGCTTCAGATATCTCATTCTCAGATTGCACAGTAAGTTGGAAAAGCTTAAAATCATCTTTAATTGTCTACAAATTTATTAATATTTTATTTCACTCTTTGGTTTGGTAAGTTCATTTTTTCTCAGACTCCCTAAAAGAAGAACAAAGAGCAGTTTTATAAATTAAAATCATTCTCCTTTAATTAGGCTAATCTGCTATTTAAGTGTAAGGAACCCTGGTGGGGTAGTGGTTATGTTTTGAGCAGCAATCTGCATGGTTGGCAGTTTGAAGCTACCAACAGCTCCTTGGGAGACAGACTGGGCTTTCTATTCCCATAAACAGTTACAGTCTCAGAAACCCACTCAAGCTCACTGTGAGTCAGCATTTACTTGATGGCAGTGAGTTTGGTTTTTGGTTTAACTTCCTAAGTGTAGCTTTAGACTTCCTTTCTTTTTCAAAGAGTAGTGAATGGATTAGTGAGAATCATAAAAAAAATTTTTTTTAATTTTTTTGAGGACCAATTTGTTGGTCTTCCAATTTCTTTTTAGCAAAGACTAGTGACTGCTTGTAGCATTGCATCTGTTTGTTGAAACATCTTCTGAATTCCATCAATTACTGGAGCCTTGTTGTTGTTGGTTTGTAATGACATTTTTTTTCAGTTTTATTGACACATAATCCTCATACAATTCATTCAATCATGTCAAGAAGCATTGTACAATCATTACCAAAATCAATTTCAGAACATTTTCTTTCTTCTCCCTGCCCCCATGATTAAATCACCTTTAAAATAAGTTGTGTAATCACATTCAGTTCTAGTGCTCCTTCCCACCTTCATTGTTTATTCCCCAAATCCATCCACCCACCTCATCTTCCCCACTCCCCTCTACATCCCCTACAAATCCTTGCATCAGTTATTATCTCTATGCATCCACTCCTTCTGTGCTTCACAAACTGGTAAAGTCAACAGAAATAATAAAGAACAAAAACAAAATAAGGTGGTAAGGATAAAACAATTGTAATATAAAGGTAAAAATACCAACGATGAGCAAAAGACCTCCATCAATATCTAAAAAGCCAAGGAAGGACTTTTTGTCATGGAACAAGCAAGAGCACAAATTCAAGGGTCTATAGGGAGGTCAACTGGTTACGTATCAAGTTTGATCCAGCATGTTCAGGATTACAATGATCTATGTTTTATAGAAAGGCTGTTCCAGACCTTTGCCTGTGGCTAGAGGGGATCTGCTAGTGGCTTAATCTGACTAAATACTCTGCAGATGGGTTCTGGGCTTCCACTGTCCTCCATGGCCTTCCACAAATTGGTTGTTCACAATTTTAGCTCTAATACTTTTCCTTTGGTCATAGTTGAGTTTTGTTATTGTCATCTTTGGATCACACAAGCTGGTGTGTGCTTCTTCCATTGGGACTTAGTTGAATCTCTACTTAGATGGCTGCTTGTTTGAATACAAGTCTTTATGACCTCAGAGCCTTGTTTCATCGGATCATCTACTATTTGTCCTTTTGTAACTAACTTATTTTGCTCAGCATGCTTTCTTGGTTTGTCAATGTCGTAGCATACAATATATTAAACATGTCTGTCTTATCATTGGGTGGCTGCAGAAAGTTTTTTTAGTAATACACTTAGTCTTGGTCTTCTTAGGATACTTTCAGAAAACATATTTTTTGTTCTATGGATATATAAAATTTCAGGAATTTGATAAAACGCTAGTGGACATCTTCGTAAGTCATTGAAGCTTTGAAATAAGTTTATGGGAGTATTGCATCACATAAAGCAACAACAATTGTTAGATGGAGCAAGTATTTAAGGAATATCAGGAAGACCTCGAAGATAAGTCAAAAGAGAGAAGACCATCAACCTAGATGAATGAAGAAACTGTAGCTCAGTGGTTCTCAGCCTTCCTAATGCCATGACCCTTTCATACAGTTCCTCATCTTGTGGTGACCCCCAACCATAAAATTATTTTTGTTGCTACTTCATAACTGTTATTGTGCTACTGTTATGAATCATAATATAAATATCTGAAATGCAGGTTGGATTTTCATTGTTACAAATTGAACATAATGAAAGCATAGTGATTAATGACAAAAACATATATTGTGAAATATTTATTTCTAATTACAAATAGATGAAATTTTGTCTTGAAGCATGGTGTAGCATGGGTAACAGTCTTCACACCAGGTACTCGGTATGTGGGCATATCTGAATGTGGGCGGACCCACCTGGAGATGGATAGAGGAGCGGTCTCTCCTTCCTAAGACCATCAGAAATATGTGTTTTCTGATGGTCTTAGGCAACCCTTGTGAAAAGTTCGTTTGACCCCCCCAAAAGGGTCGTGACCCACATGTTGAGAACCACTGCTGTAGCTAAAGTCCAGAACCTGATGGGAAAAGGCTGTAGAATTACCACTGATACAGCTGCTGAGGCTAGGCTCTTACTTGTTTTGGAATTTTTTATTTTAAGGGAACATTTGGTCTCAACAAGCTTGATGGGTTCCAAAAGCATGTGTGAAGATCAAATCTTTCCAATGGTCTTTTAAGTCAGGTTGAAGCTAGTGAAGATGATTTTATGAATAAGTCTTAAGTTTATCAATATGACCTAGAGCAGTGGTTCTCAACCTTCCTAATGCCACAACCCTTAGATACAGTTCCTCATCTTGTGGTGACCCTAAGGATAAAATTATTTTTGTTGCTACTTCATAACTGTAATTTTACTACTGTTAGGAATCAGGCAACCCCTGTGAAAGGGTCGTTCGAACCACTGGTCTAGAGGGTAAGGTCTAATCAAAACAGTGGATTCCCAGGGAATCCACTAAGCCAGTTAAATGTAAGGCAAAGAGGTCACCTTAAAAGGTATGAGGACTGCTATCAGGGACTCCAAAGGGGTAATCTTGCTACCCTTTCTTGAAGGATATGGGTTGTTAGCCGTGTTAGGTTTTTTAGAGAAACAAACCTGTTGACACTTAAAAATGTATGAGAGAGAACTTTATATCAAAAAAGAAATTTCTGTCAAAGGAGCAGCCTAGGCTAGTCCAACTCAAGTACCTGAGTCAGATGCTATCTGGAGCCCCCTCCAGACTCATGTACCTGCTGACTGATGAAGCAGGAAGCTGGGAGATCATAGGCCATTGGATATGGAGACATGTGGATCCAAGATTGGCATGAATGTGGCAGGGTACCAACAGCTCCCAGGTATGGTAGGCTACATTAATCACCAGCCCCAGAACCAAATGAAGAATCCAAGCAAGCAGGACTGTGAGAAACAGAGAATGGGAAGAGAGTGTATACAGATGAATCCTTTATTCTCATATATTAAGAAGCCTGACAGGCTGGGGCTTCTGGGGTGGAGGGAGGCCTTCACCCTTGTGAGTTAGAGGTGAGTCCCAATCACATTCTCATAATTACCGTAATTAATTAAGCTTAATGTTATTATCCACTATCATTAATATGTTCCCCACCATATCCTCCCATAATAGTACTACCTTAAAGTTAGCTCTTACAAGCACATGGCTAATTGCTTAGCATAGCTAATTACATAGCATAGCTAATTGCTATGTAGGCAGCATCTTTAACTATGGGAGTAGACATTTGCTATTTCTCTCTAGGCTTTGAAGACAGCCACCTCCCCTTTCCTGCCCCCAGTACCGGTATTAGGTTACTCTTCCAATATACTCAGGGACCTTTATGGTTAGGGTACAGCCCACTTTGTTACATACATGATTACCTGTAGTTAGGAGGACTTGCATGACCCTAGAGTGTATATAATCCTTGATTGTAAATATACTTGCTCTCTCTGTGTGAACCTGGCTCCTGAAGTCATGACTGTGAAGGTGAGCACTTGCATGCTTTGTTTTGTCTGATGGCTCTTTGATTTTACCCCTCAATTGCAAAACCACCCTTTGGACCCATTCAGTTGTTGAGGCTGGTACCCCACACAAGACAATGAAAGGGAACAAGAAGAGGTGACATTTCTCCACATCATCTCTTATAAAAAGGTCACAGCCCTAAAAGAGGCATCTCTAGGCTATGACCTGATTGATAGGTTGGACTCCACCCCTACTTTCACACAGGTACAATAACTTAACAAAATCTAACTATCACAGCGGTTAAACCCACCTTGGGAGAAAGATGGGGCTGTTTGCTCCCATAAAGCTTTGAAATCTATAGATGGTAAACCCTATGGAGGAGTTCTACTCTCTCCTATAGAGTCTCTGAGTCAGAATCAGTTTAAGGACAGTGAATTTGGTTGGGTTGGTTTTGTACATGGAGAACTCTGACAAATACTGCTTCAGCCTGGTGATCCAGATAATCATCAGTGGTGACAAGGCAAGTTGGTTTGGGGGTTGTTGTTTGGTGCTATAACATCAGACCCAATTCATAGCTACCCTATGATGGCCCCAAACAACAACCCCCCCAAACCATGTTGGAGTTACAGTGTAAATGAATAGAAGAAAATTTAATGTCCCTTTATATGTTTATTACTATCTGTTTTTCTTCTTTTCCACTACAACCTAGAAAGACCAAAACTGACCAAATAATTTGAATTGTTTGAATAGAATATCAATTTCTTTTACAATGAGAAGAATAGCTGATGTGTAGAGAGCTAGACTGCCATTTAAATCTATCTATTCAAATTCTCTAATGAATTTAACAAAGTACTAATCTAAATAAATCAAATTGAATTTATTTTATTTTAGTTTAGAAGAGAGAAATAAACATTTGGAAAACTTAATTAGGAGGCCCAGAGAAAAAACAAGAAAACTGAAGTAAGTTTTTATTTCCCTTTGTAAATAATAGTGCCTGTGTGTGTATGATAATATATTAAAAAAATTTTTCTTTATCTCAATTTAATATAAACAACACAAATTATATGAAAGTGCTTGGTATCATTCCTAGCATAAAATAGTTGCTTGGTAAACATTTTTTGTAGTATCTAAACTGGGAGCCAGATTTCCTGTCCTCATGAGACATAGGATCTCTTCTAAGGAAGATACTACAAACATTCTGAGCTACAAGAAAATATTTTTGTCTGTAACTATGACAGTTAAGTTTTATGTCAAGTTGGGCGGGTCAAGATTCTCCCATCATATTAGCTAACATAGTGTGTGGTCAACTCGTATGATGTGATCATCTGTGAAGCAGCCAATCACTGTAGGGAGAATTGGGTATAGTACCATCTCCTTAATCTGTTTATGTCTTAATACATTGAGGGAGTGTGTTAGGGAGAATTCCTTAGAGAAACAAAACCAGGACACTTATGATTGTGTGTGTGTGTGTGTGTGTGTGTGCACAGCACAAAGGAATATAAGAGCTAATTAGTCCACACTGCAGTACAGAGGGCTCACTTCACCTCACTTCCTTGGGATGGTTAATATACTGGAAGTCCTTCAACTCACATGGGCTGCCAGGTCCAAGTTCAAGGAAACGGACAGCTGAGTCTTCCCTATGGTAATGCAGGCAGTCCATCCAGAAGCAGCAAACAGGGTGGGTTACCAACAGTTAGCAGCTCAGGAGCTTATCAAAGCAGGTCCAGATGGGATATCAAATTCAAGCAATGCAAGACGACAGGTTCCACCAGCCTCAAGATCAAGTGATGTATACACCGCAGCGTGGAGAAGCAGGTCTCAAAGGAACCTCAAGCTCTAACAACAGGATCCATGGGTTGGCTTTTCCCACAGGTTGTGTAGCTTACAGGTTGAGGCAGAGAACAAGCTAAATCACATTCATGATGGTCCAATCACCAGAGAACAAGAGAGTGAGGGCAGGCCTTGCCAAGCCATTTATCTTTTTGTCCTCCAATCAAATTGAAACCTGATTAATCACACATGTTCCTATTGGCCAGGTTGGCACAATAAACCTACCTATCACAGCAAGGTTTCATTTGGGGTGTAGCATAGATTGTAAGTGTGCATCCTGTATCTGGTTTATTGATCTCCTCTTACATCACCTGCCAATCCCAGCAGCCTTCAGTGGACAGCTGACCTTAGATTCATTAGAACAACATTGGGTTCATTCATCTCTGCATCCACCAGCCCGTGTCCTTGGTTCATCATCCTGCTTTCTATTTGTTAGCTTCTATAGCTACTAGATGCCTCCAGCTTCATCTCACCCATAGACTTGAACCATGATGGATTTACCCACTTCTTCAGCTGTGTGAGCTATTGCTTGATATAAATCTCCTTCTATATACACACACATACAAGCATTACTAGTTTTGCTTCTGTAGAGAACCCAGCCTAACACAATAACAAAATAGATTGCCCTGCTATATGCTTAATAACCAGCTTTTTAATATTAACATTAAATCTTACAAACTTATAAGACTTATAATTGTCTTTTAAAAAATTTGATGCTACAAAGTATGTACTTATGAAATTGATTTAGAGACATCTCATTTCATGAGATGCTACTAAATCAAATATCCATTCCCAAATTGAGAGTATATTTTCCAATATGCATAATTTATAAAGGATATTCCAAAGAAGTTGTTGTGTGACTGATACCCATTGGTAAAAGAAGATGCAGGGGAGGATGGGAAAGATTGGGGAGGAAACTTTTTAGAATCAGTTACTACCCCCCAAATAATTTTATCTTTTTCATGCAAACTCTTATGAAGGGAGCTTCCAGAGGACCATTTAGAGGGCTTTGAAAATTTTAGGGGTAAAATTTTGGGAAACAAAGTTTAAGTGACTCACTGAGAAAGCTGAGTCCAGCTGTAGCAGCTCAACAGAGGAGTGGTGTTGGGGAGGAGTTATCTGGAATTTAGCCAATGCTGCATAGAGGACTAAGGGGTACAGAAACTAGAAGAGAATGCCAGATATTTGGGGGCTTCTGCAGGAGTATTAGAAACCAGATATACCAGCTTATGTTGGAGACCTGTAGGTGGGAGGTCCCTAGTAAGGGGAAGATCCAAACAGGTTTTAACCATTTGCTAAGCCAAGAGACTCTGAAGTCACCCAGCCAAGTAAAAATTGTCCTCTATCCCTACTTCTCTTCATCCCCCTGAATATAGAGGAAATGATGAGTAAAGAGAGAGCAGAAGCTGGCCTCCAAAGACAGGGAGTTCTCCATCAACTCTGGACCTTGCCTGAAAGCAGTTGGACTCTTACTTTTGAATGAAGATTAAAGGATTGATGAATATTTAGGATTGTACATTCCACTTACTGAATTGAGATCATGTTTATTCTTCACAGTGAAGACTGATTTTCATATACAAAAAAAAAAAAGCATTGGGCCTGCTAAATATTCAGCCAACAGCAAAGAGAAAGTTTCCCTAAATGAAGAAAGCCTTAAGTAGAAATAGGGGGCAAAGTTTAAGCTACATTTTTGTTTTTCCCTGAGTCATAATTGTTCAGCATAGAACTTGCAAATCCAGCTATGTTCTGAAAATCGAAGCACCTTACCAATGAGTTTCTATTTATAGGATGGAAAATTTGGCCATGAATGTTGCTGATGGTTGGTGTGGTTGATGTCACTGAATTCTAGGTGTGAAAAATGCTGAAATGGTAAATGTTGTATATGTGTGTTTTTATAACAGCAACGGAAAAACAATTACTAATGAGGAAAAACTCCTCAGGAGATTTAGACTACTGGTTTATACAAAATGATAGGCTACATATGATTTTTATTTTCTAATGTGAAATATAATATGATACATGGCAGTACATTGATGCTCAGTCAGCAAATGCTAATTTAAATGGACTTAGAATCATCTCCTAATGGTTGAGACCTGTGGAATTTATTTCCTGAAATTATTATTTTTTTAGATTTTCCATATAGGTTTATATTTTTCACTAGTTCAAATATTTGTTTATTACAGTGATACCTTGGTCGTTGTCAAACTCAATTTGTTCCAAAGTCATATTCAAACACTGAAAAACTAGAGAACCAAACATACTTTTCCCGTAAGAAATCATGGAAAACCAAATAATTGGTTCTGAAGCCCCAAAATTACACTTGCAGATTCATTTTTCCAAGACTTAAACACAAAGTTAAGAGCCGTAGGTTGTGGAGATACCCCCCTAAAACATCTAAACACAATAAATACAGTACATTAAATATCAAAACACAATAGAGTAAATAAAATTATATTTTGGACAAATGAAGTGCCAAAAAGCCCTGTAACAAATGTTTTAGTACTAAGGCAAGCTCCATATATTGTCTGAGAGCAGCGCTTAGACTGAAGCATCACCCCTTTGTGTCTGCAGCAAGATATGATGACACGTGACTCACTCTTGGCACCTACAGGTCTTTTTGAGTCAGATTTTCAGTCTGACTATCAAGGAAATTTGTGAACACTGAGCAGATTTTTTTTAAACTTTACTTTTCAAGTAGTGTAAAGTTTGAGCTTGGATCTGTTACACAACCAAGGTATCACAAATGACTTGGGTTTCATTTGTATAGATGTAGACTGGCCTTGAAGCAAAGAGTTGGGAATGTTGGGCCATGACCTCTCCAGAGATCAACATCAAACAAGCCTCCACTACCACTGGAATACCCAAGCAATCATAGTCAATCTAGCAATTGAACTTGTTTTAAACTACTTCTGCATACTTTTAAAATTATGGTACTGTTTTTGCCAACTTTTCTCAGTAGTGAATTTACTGGGACATGAGCTGGTAAAATACTGTATATACTTGTATATAAGCCGAGTTTTCAGCACATCTTTAATGCAGTTTTTGTGATAAAATTAGGTGCCTAGGCTGATATTCGGGTCAGATTGTACTAGAGTATATACGGTAAGTCTTTAAAATGTCAGCTATCTTATTTTTGCCTTTAGTTCCTCATCACTCTCAAGGAAATTTGTTAGGTTCTCAAGTCATCAGCATCCCATCCTAAGTCTAACTATGAGAATTACAAAATGTAATGAGACCAGGGCTCAATATTTTTATTTCAATGCAACGAGAGTGATCCATATATTATACACTGATCTTTACCTTCATCTTTTTTACTTTCGTAGTTCTATCACAGATGAGAATTTAGCATTGGAAGTCAAGGAAAAGTATCTAAAATCATAACATATTCATTCACTAAGTTAATATTTTAGCCCTCTCCCTGCCCTTATTTACTTATTTTTCTATTTCCTGCAGACCAAGAAGATTAGAAAATCATCCCAAATCCATGACCGTGATAGGGCATCATAATGATCATTTTAAAGAATATTATATTACCATGTAATGTGGCAATAACACAAGATTAAATGAGTTTCTGTAGTGACATTTCAGTAATGTCCAGCTTGTATTTCAAGTTTATTTTCTGCAAGGTGAGGACCTCTTCTGCCTCCTCCCATCGTTTGTCATGGCTTTGGAAGCATTTGCTCTGAAACATCTTGTACTGGCTCTCTGTACTCTATCTCCATTGCTACTACTTTTATCTCCAGCCCTGTTCAGTTTTCTTTTTTAAATCATTTTATGAGGGGCTGTATTAGTCTAGGTACTTTAGAGAAACAAATCCACAGCAACTCATGTATAAGAGAGTTTTATGTAAAGAAAATGTGCATCACGAAAACATCCCAACCCAATGCTGCCCAAGCCCACAAGTCCAACATTAACCCATTTACCCAACACCAGTCCACAAAGTCCTCTGCCTCACAAAACAGAGGCAATGATGCAGACTGCAGGAGGAAAGCTGAGTCAGTGAACAACTAAGCATCTCAGCACTAGCAGGGGTCTCCACGTGGCTGCTCCAGCACCCAGGGCTGCATCAGGATAGGTCCATGTGGCTTCTCCTTGGGGATGTCTTGTAGGAAGTCAATCTTGCAAGCTGAAGCAGGGAACTGCTAAGGCAGCTGCACCCTGGTGCGACCATCACAAAGCAAGAGACCCAAGAACTAAAAAGGCGAGGCTCACCACCCATTTATCCCTCTGCCTTTCAATTAGCCCCACATGTAATTATTGGCCAGGTTGGCACAATTAACTAACTCAGGGGCTCATACAACTCTTATCACAACCATTCATACAACCCCATTCCCTTTTCATCTGACTCTTGCACTCATTTCCTAATTGGTATTGTGCCTGCGTTTTTTTTTGCTCCCCTTCACTCTGGTTCACAGAGTCGGCAGAGTGAACTCTCAAAAACAAAATATGGTCACATTTCTTCCCTGCATAAAACCCTGTCTATGATTTCCAGTGGTATTTCGGTTCAAATCCTAGCACCTTATTATAACATATAAGGTATGACCCTTGCCTTCCCATCCAATCTTGCACTTTCCCATTGTTCCCACCAACCATATCCAACCACTTGGAATTTTCTAACCACACTGTTATTTCTATACTTTTGTGTTATTTTTTATATAGCTTCCCCTGCCTGGGATGTTCTTCAAGTCCTTTTCTCCCCTTCTCCAGTTCTCAGCTCACAGAAACCTGCCAGCGCAAGCTTCGCCTCCTGTATGAAACCTTTCTGACTTCACATATTTCCCCCAGGTGGAATTGGCTTGCTTCCTCCTAGGTGTCCCTTCACTTGATTAGAACTCTTTTAGTGAAGAAATTCTCATATTATTTTGAAGCACCAGTTTCATACAAGAAACAAAAAACACAAGCCAACTCCCTCCACCAAGTAGATTTCAACTTACCTAGTAAGCAGGTAGCACTGTCCTGTTAAGTGTTTAACTGCTAACTGCAAGGTCAGTAATTCAAACCCACCAGCTGTTCCTCTGGAGAAAGATGAGGCTGTCTGCTCCTATAAAGACTTATGGCTTTGGAAACCCAGTATAAATCAGAATCTACTCAATGGTAGTGAGTTTGGCTTGGGGGTATAAGGACAGATTCAATATGTTCTATAGGGTTTCTGAGCCTGTAAATCTTTAGAAAGCAGACTCCCTTAACTTTCTTTTACAAAGCAGCTAATGGGTTCAAACCTCTGATCTTACATCCCAGTGCTTAACCCACTGATACACCAGGGATCTTTGCTTATTTCATAAATACTAAAAACAAAAACAAAAAAAACAGTTGCTCCAAGTCAATTCCTGTGGGAAACTAACACTGAAATATGATCAGGACTATGTTCCCTAGCTTGTAACAGGCAATCTGGGAAGCTAAATTTGAGATAAAGTCTAAGCACATTATCCTGCTTTAAATGTCATTCCCATATATTCTCCTCTAACAGCTATGCTGCCTTAAAGTGAGCACATGGTTGATTCTGTCTCCCTGTAGAAGCAGACATTCCCGTTATCTCCTCCCACCGCAGCACCCATCCCTCCTCATGCCTTCCCCCAATGCAGGTATTAAGTTTCCTCACCTGTGACTTCAGGGACTTTACTGTGGTTACCACCCACCTTGTGATGTATGTAACTACTGAATACACCTGTTTTGTGGCTACCTACATATATCCCAAGACAGTAAAGATTCACTCTCTCCACCTCTCTCCTCTGCCGCTCACTGGGTGGACCTGGCTGCTGAGATTATGGCCATCCAGGAGGTGAGCATTGCTACCATGAAATGTGTCTGACTCCTTTATTTTGCCTTCTCGTCTATCTCTCTTATTCTCCATGAATTTACTATAATCTTTATATATTATCACCGTACAATTGCACCTACCGAACCCACGATATTGTCAGAGGCTGGCTACTCTGACAAATTCCGACTCATGGCAACACTATGTGTACAGAAGACAACTACTCCATAGTGTTTCCAAGGCTGTGACCTTTCAAACCCAGAACGCCACACCTATGAGTAGGTTCAAACCTTCAAACTTTGTATTAGTTGTCAAGTATTAAACCATTTGCATCACCCAGGAACTCCTCCTGGACCACTGCCACTTCTAGACTTGCTAGAGTCATTTCTAATAAAGAAAATAGCTGCTGCTCTCCTCGACACCCCAGGCTAAGAGTATGCATTCATGAATACTATGGGGTATTTGTGAAAGAAATATCTGATCAAAAGGGTTACTTTTCACATGCATATCTCTCTGTGCTTGCATTGAGACCCACCTTTTCTAACAGTTGAATTCTGGGAATTGTTATTAATATATGTCATGACATCAATTCAGACTCATAGTGATCCTGTAGAACAGAGTAGGCCTCACTGTAATTCTTTATGGATGCATGCTGTTTTGCCTTTCCCCTCCAGAGCAGCTGGTGAATGCAAACTGCCACCCTTTTGGTCAACAGCCTAGTACTTAACCACTGCACTACTGGGACTCCTTGCCTTCATCTCAACTCCATAAAAAACAAACTCACTGCCATCAAGTCAGTTCCAACTCATAGCAACCGTATTGGACAGGGTATAACTGCCCCTGTAGGTTTCCAAAACTATAGAGAGCCTCATCTTTCTCTTGCGGAGTGGCTAATGGATTCAAACCACTGATCTTACAGTTGGCAGCCCAACTTGTAACTCACTATGCAACCAAGCTCCTTTACTGGCTTCTCTTAATTATACTGGTGCTGTTGAGTCACTTTATAAATTACTCTGTGTGTTACTTCTATTCCTTTTTATTTATTTCTACCACATGTTGTACAATAAAGATGAAATTCAACCAATCTTGTTCCTTGTAGTGTTCTTAAGTTGGAGAAAGGTTAAAGCAAGTAAACAAAACATGATTACGATAAGGCTATATTTGTATTATGTATTAGTTCATCTATCACTTGTCTTTCTCTGTATGCTTTCCAGGAATTCTGTCACTGCCCTTCCCCAGAGTTAAGATATCTTTCCTTTCACTTTTAAATGTCAGATCTTTAAAAAGGAAATAGGATTTAGACTAAACATTGATTGTCAACATTAATTATTAAAAATAAATAGTATATTAAATATTAAATTGTATCTATCAACTACACCAAGAATACGGCCATTACTAAATCAGTCCATTCAAATTATTTACATTCCAAAATGTGTGATTCCTTTTTTCTAACTTCTTTCTATGAATGGACAAGCATAATCTACTTTAGCACACAGATGAACAACTACAATGGTTTCTATCCCAATTATCATTTATTTTTGTTCACATTGAATACCATATCTGTAATATCAGGGGTCTAATTTTTTTTAAAAGGTAGGGATTTCATTTTTCATATACCTCCACAGGACATTCTTTTTCTCTCTAGGCAAGCAGGCTGCTCCTACTGCCAACCAAAATTTAAAAGATACTAAATCTGAAATTCTATAAAGTTAACGCTCAATTAAAAGAAAAAGACTGGATTTTAAAGTCCTAACTCTTTGAGTGACTGCCTCAGCAGAATCTTAAAGAATTAATTCAATATTTAAACAAAGGAAGCAGAGATACTGATTTTGTAGAATGCATTAGATAAATAAATGCACATAACATGCATGTTATCTTTTTAGTAAAACCCAAAGCTAGTTTATGGTATAACTTTAATTGAAGCATGCCATAAGTGGAAGGAAATAAATTATTTTCTCTCACTGAAGTTAGTTTTATATTTAAATGAGTCAGGTAAGTAAAAGAGGAAAATATTTTTAAAGTATATATTTAGCCCAGAAGGACATACTAAATGAATAAAAGCTATTGTTAAAAGTTATGTAGATCTTGAAATAGAAAATGTATTAATTGTGCTAATGCAACAAGTTGGAACACAAGGAAGACAAACCATGAAATTGTAAATAAGTAGCATTTGTAGTAATATTTTATTTCAGAAAAATTAAACGTTGAAAGCTTTAAATGTGATTAAAGGTTTAAAAGACATATTTTTATTTATTTTTTATTTATGGGATCTTGTAGTGTAGTAACGATGAAATATGCAATTTTCCTCCAGTTCTTAAATGCTCCTTCCACCCCACTACCATGATCTCAATTCTACCTAACATATCTGGCTGGACTGGAGGATGTGCACTGGCACAGATAGGAACTGGAAATACAGTGAACCCAGGACAGATGAACCGCCCAGGACCAGTGGAGAGAGTGGCGATAGCAGGAGGGTGGAGGGAAGGAGAGGGAGAAAGGGGGAACAGAGGACAAGGTCTACACGTGGCCTCCTCCCTGGGGGACGGACAGCGGAGAAGTGGGTGAGGGAGACGTTGGATGGGGCAAGATATGATAAAATAATAATAATTTATAAATTATCAGGGGGAAGAGGGAGGGGAAGTGGGGATGCAGGGGGAAAGTGAGCTGACACCAAGGGTTCAAGTGGAAAGCGGGTGTTGTGAGAATGATGAAGTCAACATATGGACTAATGTGCTGGACACAAATGACGTATGTACAGATTGTGATGAGTTGTATGAGCCCCTAATAAAATGATTATTTAATTTTTAAAAAAGTAAACTACAGATGGAAAAAGATAAATACTAATATAATGACAGTCAATTCACTGTCT